AAACAAACTGAAGTCCTCAGCTTCCCCAATTCACTTGGCAGTTGGAATTTCCTCAACTCTCCAATTATAGCAGTGTCTTCCAGAACAAAATATTATTTTAGCTGAACACTCAGCTCAAGCAAAAAAAAAAAAAAACCAGAAATGGAGATGCAGGGGATCGAACCCTGTACCTCTCGCATGCAAAGCGAGCGCTCTACCATTTGAGCTACATCCCCTAGGTATTTCGATTGAACAGTTAATATTACATATTGGTTTCCATGCGTTCCTGGATCACTCCAGGGTCCATCCACCCCAGCTTAAACGGAACCTTCCTGATTTTTATACCAATTTGCATTTATAATTTTCAATCCTTTGTATCTATTTTTATTAAAGGTTCAGGTGATATTTTTCATGATCAATTTACATTAAGTAAAGTATACATGTAGGAAAAAAAAAACAAAATATTTTACATTTATCAAACAAGTTTAGTTTAATCAAGGTAATCTTAAAAAAGAAAAAAAAAACTCCACAAATTATTTTTGATTTGTGTTAGAAAAAGTTATAAATATGTAGATTTATTATATATAAATATAAATCTAGTTAATTGCAACTTAGTCTTTGTAGTTTATCACAATAAATTAATTAGACCTTATAGTATAGCATGAGAAATTATTAAATAGCTCTTCATCAACACCTAATTTACTAGTATTTTATTCAAAAAATGGTTTTCCATGCTCATCGTATTTTTTTATTCTATCTGCTTTATTTTTTATTCTTAAAATTAAAAACAAAAGGTCAAAATAAATTGGAAAAGAAAGTGAGATGGACGAGAAGAATCAAGTTATAAATTTATTTAAGAGCATAGGGATTAAATATATAGTTTTTGAAACTAAGATGAGTACTGATTAGTTAGTTTTACTAAACTGGATTGACTAAAATATAATTAACCCTTTATAAGTTATGGTATGGCCTTCACCTTCGTGCTCGAATAAGTCCATTATTTTTTACTCATTTCCACATTTATCTTCATAAAAGCAACGATCCCTCCATATCTATTTTCGTTCAGTTATAAATGCAATGCACGGAGATTTTGAAAAGATTTATATGATCACTGCTACAGTAATGCAAAAGGCAAGGAACAAATCAAGTGAGTTTTCTCACAGGCATTGAGTGTATGTGTTGCATGCTCTAGGCTCTCTAGTGTTATATACGTGTTGCATGTTTTTCACGACTTGGCATGCTGGATGCAAGAAACTATGCCCTCTTCATTTTCAAGTAAAATTTTCTAATGCTGTTCTTACTAAATGAGATGTAGATCAATAGTTACACCAATCTGTCCATTACAAGTCACCAGATGCAACTGCGCAAAGGGGCACTCCTACAATCCTTCGGTCAATGGCAATGAACAGTGTGCCTTGGCGATCCAGACATTCCTTCAGCGCTTGATCCCCTTTGAGGCCATGGCCAACCATGTGCGAGTGGCAGAAACAATACAGCTGAGTTAACGCCTGATTGGAGATGTCTCAGGAAGGCTTTGATTTCGTTTGCGAAAATGATGGTCTCGTTGATAGCGGGAAAAGGACCTCAAACATGTTGTGAAAGAACCCCTTGTCATACTTGTTTTCCTTGGCTACCACCTGAGAATCTTCGAGGGGCGATCTCCGGAAAAAGGATTTACATTTGCTCTCTGGACGCTTTGCTTCACTGCTCATCCCACTGATGCTTGCTTTAAGTGCTGCAGCGCTAACCCTTGCTTCATTTAGCTTCCTTTGCCAGCTTATGTAGTCTTCCCACTTGAAGGTCTGTAATTACAGCAAAAAGCAATGACCACAAGTTTCAGGATTACAGTATTAACCTAGTAGATGAGATTCCGATACTGAGAACACCGGTTAATCCAAAAAAATTGTGCGCGCATGGAGAGGTAGAAGGTGGCTATGGTTGTGTATAAATACCAGAAGAGAATTTAAACAACATAATCAACTGGTTGGAGTCATCATATTTAGTGTTGAACAGAAGCACATTAAAATCTAGATATTTTAGGGGAAATTACTTGGAAAATTAGTGCAGTTCTCTGAAGTGGAAATTGCAGACAGATTCAAACCCAACCTCCCCCCAATATCTATTAAAGTAATAGCCAAGGTTCTTGCAATTTTCAACATCCTTACTTGATTCTAGCACTTCTAAACCCCCCAGCCCTTTCTCCCAATGCTCCCTATCCCTCTTTTAATTATCGAAGCACAATAACAAACCATAACACCAGCCAAAAAAATCAATAAATCTTCTGATTTCAGAAGTTTCTATGTTAATTGCTACCCTTATGGAAAACTCATGGTTGGACAAAACATTAGGAAGCTTGAAGAGGAGAAAGTGCAACTTCCATAGAAATTTTCTGAATTATGTGGTATTACATGTACCAAGCCGAGAAATTTATATCTGTATTCGTTTTCATGGCTTGACAAGGTGAACTTTTCCGTATTTTGCCCATCAGGTAAAGCAGCTGCAATGGAGTCAAAAAGTTACAAAAAAGGCTTCTCCTATGATGTTAATTACTGGCCAAATTCTGCCGCATCCAATATCCGAGAGAAATGGAAAAAACCACATTCAAAAGAGCATCGACATCCAGCCCTAAACATATATGAAATGAAAACAACAAAACTATATCAAAGAGTACATGTAAATGAACTAGACCTCATTTGTTGTAGTGTTTGTGAGACATAGGTTGGCATGGTACCCAAAAAATCCAGCCAACAATAGAGAAACTATGACAAGAAACACCATCAGAAGTAATTGAGTGTTGTATGAGCTCAGCAGCCACTGTGAACACCAGAAAACCATTAATGAAAGCGACAAGAGTATAGCAGCAAATGAAATAAGGAATTCATGACACAACCTGTGCAACATGTGGTGCTAAACTACGGAATGAATTTCCAACGCTGTAATAAACTGTTAAAAACAAAAAGAAATGCCACAATTACACCCGTAAGAAATGAACCATAAATTAGACCTAACTTCATCTTGATATTTTTTTCTGATTGTCAGTAAATTTAAACAAGAGTTTGAGGTTTCAACATCATTTCATGAAATTCATTAATAAAAAATCACAAAAATTTAAGCAACATACATTTCTACAGATATGCTGGCAAAAGAACCTGGAAGTGCACCTGTGTATGTTACAGATTCTAGCAAAGAAACAAGGAAACCAGTGACCACTAACCAGTTGCAGGAAACCTCTAAAATTAAGTTTGACGATTTGAGTTGTTAAAAAAAATTAAGAGCAAGTTCAATCGTCGCAAACAGATACCACAAGTTAACAAACAGATATTATAGATTCTCCACCTATCAGCTAAAGCTTCAGGTCACCAACAAAAGGTTTTATTTTTCTTAATTTTTTTCAGTTTCAGGAACACAAACAAGATGGTATATTGATAGTTTCTCATTTCTGTTACTGTATTACAAACTTTTGGTGGTGTTACCAAACAACCCCTAAATTTCAGTTTCATAAAATTCAGTGATGCATAGAATATTTGTATTTTCCAAATAATAGACCTTCCAGAGTATCCCTCTTCTTTTCACCGATGGAGACTGCAAGGTCAAAGTCTAAGCCAAATTCAAAGATTCTCTTCCAAGATGTATTTATAAATAGCATAGGTTCACAATGTAAAGAATTGAAAATCATATTGAATCAATTGAAAGATGTTTTTGTTTTTTGTTTTTTAATTTCGTCTGCAGGGTCAATATTGGGATTGGGGCATGTGATTGCTTGGCAGGGGATGGAACAAGAGATTAATGATACAGAAACTTAGCTGGCTGAAGCCTCCACAAAATCGCAGTCAACTGAGAATAACAATATGGATCGTGAGAATCCTGTTGAAGCATCGACTAAGTTACAATCTGAAATAAACAACAACGGAGATGGAAATCATGTGGATGCATTAACTAAAGGTCAATCATCCAGAAAAAGAACCCCCAAATCATTTTTCATTCCTTCTTCTGTATTTACAGCTTATTTGTCCTAACATTTACTCTGGCAATTGATAACTGTGTAGTTAATGTTTGATTTTTAATGGGGATGGCCTTTTGGCTTTTTACCGGGAAGAGAAACAGGATAGAGAAAAAAAGGGACTTTTCGAAAAATGGATTTTGTAAGAATCTTTGATAAAATTTAAATCCCATCAAGGTTCTTTTTCTACGAGTCAATGGGTGCATCAACTCTAATGTCAGGTATCAAAAGGGAAACTGTTATGCAATTGAAAATTTTGACTCTATGAGGCATCTGGTTTGAAATGTACTGTTCTTGCGAAATGAGTGTGGAGTATTGTAGGACACGGGCAGCTGAAATCTTTTTCTTGAAAAACTGTAACAGACAGCTTATTGTCTAGAGATTTGCTGTTTTTGTCTCAACAGCATTTCAAGTAAATCATATTTTGGAAACTATTGGGTATCGACGAAAGTCCCATATTGATTAGAAATGGGAAGGATCAAGGGTATATAAGGATGGACAAATATCTCCATTGATATAAGGCTTTTTGGGTATAATCCAAGAGCAAATCCATGAGGGTTTTATCCCAAAATGAATAATATCATACTAATGTGGAGATAGGTGGTGTCCATAATCTTTACAAATGGTATCAGAGTCATGCCCTCGAGTTAGCCATGATGGATGAATCCTCGGAATGC